TTATTTTCTTTAGTAGCAATACATCAACTTGTAACTCATGGGGTAAAAAAAATGTATTTATTAAAATAAATAATAAGTACTTTTATCATCATCAAAATGTGTTTTGACTTTTTACTGTAGTTAAAACCACCAGCAAATAGGACTGAATATTTAGGAATATATAGAAAGTTTGATTGTTCTTCTTCTTTTAACAAATACTGTATAATTAATGCAGAAGGCGTTACACTATGGGTTACTTTATAGTCATTAATGAGAGGCATGGTACTTTTCTGGGGTTTCCTACATCTTTTTAATAACAAACATTGCAGCCCAGGAGATCTTAGACAATAATTTACCTCTATATTTCAGCACAATGAGAAAGAAAAAAGAAATGACCAGAATAATTAACCCACACCCACTCTTGAAAGAACTTTGTGAGAATGAAACTGTTATATTAACATTTACAAACTTTTAGCCATCAAGTTTGCAACATTTAACAGCGGGATGGCTACAGTATTGTTTAATGAAGTTATTTTAATGCTATTAATACTAACTCTAACTGTCTGTCCTAGTGTGGGGTCTGTACAAGTAGAATGTTGCACTGTGGAATTTGCATATTCTTTGCCAGAAATAGCTTTAAACTTTCACAGGGTGTAGTAATGTTTTATATGTTTGTCAGTCTGGTATCTTAATGGGTATTGAAGGAGAGTAGTCTATTGAAGGAGAGTAGTTTATTGAAGGAAAGTTGTTTATTGAAGGATAGTTGTTCATTGAAGGAGAGTAATTTATTGAAGGAGAGTAGTTTATTGAAGGAGAGTTGTTCATTGAAGGAGAGTTGTTTATTGAAGGAGAGTTGTTTATTGAAGGAGAGTTGTTCATTGAAGGAAAGTGGTTTATTGAAGGAGAGTATTTCATTGAAGGAGAGTGGTTTATTGAAGGAGAGTGGTTTATTGAAGAATAGTGGTATATTGAAGGATAGTGGTTCATTGAAGGAGAGTGGTTTAATGAAGGAGAGTGGCTTATTGAAGGAGAGTTGTTCATTGAAGGAGAGTAGTTCATTGAAGGAGAGTGGTTCATTGAAGGAGAGTGGCTTATTGAAGGAGAGTTGTTCATTGAAGGAGAGTGGTTCATTGAAGAGAAAACTTAACTTTATACATGGAAGATGCCAGGAGATTAGTCATGAACTTGGTTTCTGTTAAATGTCTTGGCATACTCATTATGAAGAGTGTTTGAGGTCAGTCAGAGAGAGAGAGCTGTCATGTTTTTATACCTTACAGCATACTTTCTATTTTAAAAATACATTTTGAGTTTTAGAGAAAATGTTGTTTGTTATATATTTTTTATTCAGCAAATAAACTGTACCGACTTGACTAGTTTATTGGATATATAGTAAAATTACAATTGTTATCACACCAGAATATCAGTTTGTGAAATGTGTGCGTATGTATGCACAGTTGTGTTTTTGTGTAATGGACAAAATCCACCAAGATAGTGTAAATTGTAGCAAAATTTAAAGTATTTACATGAACGTGGAAGGCACTATTACTTCTATGTTCACATGGAAACGTGCACTTAAAAAGTGTCTGTAGCTTTTCTGTTTTAATCAAAAGTATACTTAAGTATCATGATTTTATCCAGCTCTGAGCACAGGACAGGTAGAAATTCGGCACTAGGCGAGCCTGTTAACAGGGCATTCATTAAGATATACTTTGTCAAACGCTGTCGTCTTGCTTCTTCTCATCAACGTTGTCGTCATCACCATCGTCACTGGCCTTGGTCTTCTTTCTGCCTCACGATCCACCAGACATCTGCCAAGTGTCTCTGCCAGTAAATACCAACTTTCTCTAAAATCACTTTTAACCCACGACCTTATCCAAACTCTACATTTACGCTAGCCTGGCAAGGGGGGATAATAATATCAATGAACACTCCAGTTTAGGAAAGTGTAAGATTTTTCTTTTAAAACTAAATCCCTGCCATGATTTTTTAATATCATCATATACATCTTATTTAATTTGATAAATAGTTACAGAGTTTACATGTTTCAGCTTTATCTTATCTCACCATAAGGTCATTGTGGTACAGAACTTGTTCAGCTGATGAGATTGTTCCGTGAACAAACAATATTATTTACATGTACTCAACAATAAACTCTAATGATATAGCTTTAGTATATTATTATTTACATGTACTCAACAATCAGCTCTAATGATGTAGCTTTAGTATAATTTTTATAGAACTATTACAGATCAACAAAGTAACTTCTCTAGTTGTGTGTTGTATTTACAAGTGTGTAGTAAAGAAGAAGATATATATTAAAACTTCCAAAACCGAGGATCATCATCATCATTGTGCTTCGTCAGCTACTAGATTAATACTTTGGCCCCACAGCTCTTCCTAATGCTATTAATACTAAGAATGCATATTAAGTAGTAACCTTCATCTGTAACGAGACTCTGTTAAGTACTATATTTGGCATCTACGCTGTAGCATGAGAAATTTTGATGGGAGTATTTGCCAGATCCTCTCCTTTTTTTAAAACAATACCAAAATTGACTTTAAAAATAGAACATACAGAAAATATTTTTTAAAAAGGTAAATTGTCAGTTTAGAAAGAGATCTTCTACAATTCAATTTTTCAACTATTTGAAATTGAACTAAAATTTACAGATCTACACAAGTTGACTGGTTATACATTTTAGTTGTTTCTATGGGATGTTAGGAAGTAGACATAGTAGGTTTAGGAACTTAAATGAACTGCAACTACTTTTTGAAAGAATAGCAGATGATATTTTGACTTCTATACTGAGGCTTCAGTATACATTAACTAAGTGTGTAAAGGAATTTGGTTGAGTGAGGTGTTTACCTGTGTTGGTGTACATCAAGTAAGTGTGTAAAGGAATCTGGTTGAGTGAGGTGTTTACCTGTGTTAATGTACATCAAGTAAGTGTGTACAGTATCTGGTTGAGTGAGGTGTTTACCTGTGTTGGTGTTCATCAAGTGTGTACAGTATCTGGTTGAGTGAGGTGTTTACCTGTGTTGGTGTTCATCAAGTGTGTACAGTGTCTGGTTGAGTGAGATGTTTACCTGTGTTGGTGTACATCAAGTAAGTGTGTAAAGGAATCTGGTTGAGTGAGGTGTTTAACTGTGTTGGTGTACATCAAGTAAGTGTGTAAAGGAATCTGGTTGAGTGAGATGTTTACCTGTGTTGGTGTACATCAAGTAAATGTGTACAGTATCTGGTTGAGTGAGATGTTTACCTGTGTTGGTGTACATCAAGTAAGTGTGTAAAGGAATCTGGTTGAGTGAGGTGTTTACCTGTGTTGGTGTACATCAAGTGTGTACAGTATCTGGTTGAGTGAGGTGTTTACCTGTGTTGGTGTACATCAAGTGTGTACAGTATCTGGTTGAGTGAGGTGTTTACCTGTGTTGGTGTACATTAAGTAAGTGTGTACAGTATCTGGTTGAGTGAGGTGTTTACCTGTGTTGGTGTACATCAAGTAAGTGTGTACAGTATCTGGTTGAGTGAGGTGTTTACCTGTGTTGGTGTACATCAAGTAAGTGTGTACAGTATCTGGTTGAGTGAGGTGTTTACCTGTGTTGATATACATCAGGTAAGTGTGTACAGTGTCTGGTTGAGTGAGATGTTTACCTGTGTTGGTGTACATCAAGTAAGTGTGTACAGTATCTGGTTGAGTGAGATGTTTACCTGTGTTGATATACATCAGGTAAGTGTGTACAGTGTCTGGTTGAGTGAGATGTTTACCTGTATTGGTGTACATCAAGTAAGTGTGTAAAGGAATCTGGTTGAGTGAGGTGTTTACCTGTGTTGAGGAGTTTGTTACAATAGTTCTTGATTCATTTCATATTATGTACACAACGTTAACTGTATTATGTTAACTTCACCTTGAGGAGTTTGTTACAATAGTTCTTGATTCATTTCATATTATGTACACAACATTAACTGTATTATGTTAACTTAACTTCACCTTGAGGAGTTTGTTACAATAGTTCTTGATTCCTTTCATATTATGTACACAACGTTAACTGTATTATGTTAACTTCACCTTGAGGAGTTGGTTACAATAGTTCTTGATTCATTTCATATTATGTACACAACATTAACTGTATTATGTTTACATAAACAAGGAATTCCATCTTGTTAGAACCTTACTATACAGAGAAACGTACCTGTGTGTGTGTGTATGTATGTATGTATATATATATATATATATTTGTAATGTAAATAATACAACGTTTCTATCAGTGAAGAGGTCTGATATACAGATGCAATATGCAGAGTTAGATATGTACAATGTCATGTCCTGGTTCCATAAATGTTTGACATCTTTATATTCCAAATAGAAGATCCTATGCCTAAATTACAAAGTTTCAATATAAACCAAATACTTGTGTGATCTGTTTGGTATTCTGTATATGACTGGTTAACACTACACACGTTAAGTACATTATGACTATGTTTACTAATTGTGCCATTTCATCAGATTCTTACAATACAAACTTTAGTAACTTTTGTGGCTGCATACAGAGTAACTAGTTTTGTTTTTCTAGTATTTCCTTTATGTCTTTTCCATTAAAAACTAAACTTGATGACGATAAGTTTAGTACACACGCTGCATAGTACACCAAGAGATATCAGAGAAAATCTTTTATTTACAGTTTAAAAGTAATTTGTAGTATTCCAAGATACTTTGTAAATAAACAGATACTATGCTGATCCAGTAAATGTTGGTGGTTGGATTTATCATTAAACCATATACTGTGGAATTACATTAACTTATATCGGTGACGTGTAGGGATATATATACACCAAGATCTGACAGTTTTAGTCAGTAACTATTCTTTATAGAAATGGACATTGATTGTGTACTGGTAAATCTATTCAGCATTAATGATGTGTTATACACATATGTACTGTACAGTGTAGGTACAGTTTTTTATCATAAGTTTCATGTTATGTTTTATGTTATAAATCAGTGTGTTCATTACACTTGTCATAGGAAATGTGCTCGACCCGAGAGGACGACTGATGAACAGTTTTTGTGTTAAGCGGCTGCTCCACTTTGATTAAAGATCCTGTAACACTAATTACAGTGTACGTGTGTAACAATGGCATCTAGCTGTTTTGATTTAAGAGGTGGGGGATCAGGGGGGATCTTGTCAAAAGAGGAAGCCCTGCAATATTGGAGGGGCCATAAACGGACCAAAAGTGCCGGTAGCAATACTTCACGAGACCTGTCCTTATACACTAGCATGGGTTTGTACAGCCACCACGGTGAAACCAACGTGCGTGCTACAGAGACATCAACGAGTGAACTATCTCACATGACTTGCAACAGTGTATACGAATTTGTGAAAGTAACTGACAAGGCAGAACGTCTGCATTTACAGAAGGAGCTCAGAGGTCAGTAATTGACTTTTTTAATTTTATGGGATACAGCTGGACAAACATTCAATATCATTTGGGATGTTTGATTTTATGAAATGTGTTTAGTTTAAAAAATGACAGGATAGAAAGTTTTATTAGTTAGTTCTAGTGTGAGAAAGTTTTGTTAGAAAGCAATTCTGTAACAAAAATTAACAATTGATCAAACGACCCTGAATTACTTGGATTAAAAGGAGTCTTAGAATATTGTACAGACCTGAAATGGCTACACAGAAATATGCAATAAGTTATAAATAACAGTCAATAAATGCATGTTTGTCAAGCCAGAAATAATTGTATCTTTATTAAAAATGAATCAAGACAGTTATTTGTAAAACGTCATCTAGCAAGTTAGGCTTCTTAGCGAGCTTTTAGGTAAATATTACAAAGAAGAATCTTTAATTTTGCAAAGTTTTTATGGTTTTACTAATAAAAGGTTTGTAAATTAATAATTGTACCTCTTTACTGCTAATTCTGGGTTAGTTGTAGTGAAAATTCTGTTTTGCAGAAAAAGAAGAACTGGGTGAAAGGGACTGTGGCATATTGAATTTCCGTCCATTATGTCTTCAGCGATTTGCCAGAATAAATATGTTTGTCCTCCTTGCTTGTATTTTGGTCACTCTGCAACAAGCACTTTCCTCGGGCTACTTCAACAGGTAAACTTCTGTCCTTTGATCTCTGTTTTATGGTCTTCTTACAACCAGATGTGTATTGGATGATTAAATAGTTTATTACTGAAACCTGTATTCATAATGTGACAATATACTTTCATGCTATGTAATGCATGTATGAGCAGAAGGAAACTAGCCCTTGAAAAAGTTATTCCTATACAGTTTTGTACACAACTTGTAAAACTTACACACACACACACATAAAATTTGGACTTAGAAAAGCTATAATAGCTTCTTTATCTAGAAGCAAGTAATTTTTAGACATCTGTCGTAACTGTAAAAATTATTTAAAAACATTGTAAAAACTGAATCGATAATTCTATAATATTCTTCAAAACGTCCAAATCTGTTTTTTCTTCTAACATGGATATGGTCTTGTCTGTGAAGTGTTTGAAACCAGTAACAGAAAGTATTGAATATTCCATACAGTTTCAACCAGGATAGTAATTTAGGCTGTTTCTATATTTCTCCTTCTACAAGTGTAATCACCACAATAGAGAAGAGATTTGATATCCCCAGCAGGATCTCGGGAGCTATAGCAAGTACCTTTGAAGTTGGTAACTTGTTGGCCATTATCTTTGTCAGCTATTTTGGTGGTCACCGGCATATTCCTGTCTGGATAGGAAAGGGTAAGTTATTTACCAGAGTTACTTATATTTGGCTCTAGAAAAACTTAGAAACAGATAACAAGTGTTAGGAACACATATGGCTGTTACTTTATTTATTTGTTTCATTGAATTTTGCTCAAAGCTACATTAGCACCATCTTTAATTTTCAACTGATAGACTAGTGGGGAAGACAGCCAGTCAACGCCACCCATTACCAACTCTTGGGCTACTCTTTACCAACAAATCCTTATATGGCCCTCATGGATAAAAGAGCAAGCATGTTCCAGGATTTTGTATTCTGCAGATTGCGAGAGTTGAGTGCCCTAACCATCAGGCCATGTTAGGCTAACTGTTTATAAAATAATTATTATTTAGCTCTCATGTAAAAGTAACATTATTGTCACAGGACAAAGTGTGTTTATATATAAACATATGAGTAGGTATGTGTGTGTATATATAAATGTGTGAGTAGTTACGTGTGTATATATATATAAACATATAAACATACGAGTAGGTACGTGTGTATATATAAATGTATGAGTAGGTATGTGTATATATAAATGTATGAGTAGGTATGTGTGTATATATAAATGTATGAGTAGGTACGTGTGTATATATAAATGTATGAGTAGGTATGTGTATATATAAATGTATGAGTAGGTATGTGTATATAATTTTTTCAGATAAACTGAATTACATCACAAGCACACAGCACTGTATAGCTCTGATGAAATTATAATATAACCTACATCTGTTGTTTTGATTACGTCTGATAGACGGAATATCCCCAATGCTTTTGGGAGTTATAACCACAGACATTTTCACTTTAAAATGACACCTTTTGTACAAATTGTATAATTTTACATTGTTATATTAGAACTTTGTTTACAGGATCACTTACTTGTTGGCACGTACAATAAATAAATTGTAGGTAATATTATATATATATACAATAGATCGTTAGGTTGGGAAAAGTGGGTTTTGTAGTTGATTAAATTAACTATATACTGTTCCTGGCCAACAGATTAATTAACATCATTTGTCATTAATCCTTACCTTAAAAATCGGACTTATAAATGACTAAACTAAAATAATACCTAGAACACTACAAAGCCAGCCTGATGAGACCTGGTATTAGGGAGACGTAGTGTGATTGACATATTATAGCAGATTCGTCTCTGTCTTCACTCATAAGTTCTTGAAATTTACAACCAATATTCTCTCTTTTTCTAGGAATCTTGGTTATGAGTGTTGGATCAATGGTCTTCTCTTTACCATATTTTCTTGACCAATCAGGTTCATTTTCTCGTAGCAAGTTTGGGAAGAATTCATCCAATATTTCAGATGAGAACACTTGTCAAGTGTCTCCACCAATCCAGCCACATCATCTGGGAACAAGGTGTGTAAAAAACTGTTTTTCATTCTTCAGTTGAACATTAGAGTGATAAGCATCGGTTGTGTTTTGTTTCTTAAAAATATAGTTTATAAAAAATAAAAGCTTTACATTCAAACATTAGTAAATATGGGCACTTGGAATATTTGATTTTTATAGATATACATGTTTGGCTAGTTTTTATTTCTCAATCAATTTCTAGGTCATTTAATATTTAGACCACCTCCCCCAAGTGGATTTAGGATTTTGATACCCATGGTGAGCAGAGCCCATTGTGTAGATGTGATCTTAACAACAACTAAGCTAACCATTTAGAATAATGTTCTGTGTTTATTTTTAGTACGTACACAAAGACTTAGTTATATTTAAAGCTTGATGACTAGTAGTTTCTCAAAAAAAAAACTCAAACACTGAAAGTGTAATAAAAATTTAAAATGTTACTTGGTTGTTAGTTGATTCAAAATTAGCCTTTAATATAGAATGGTCAGCAAAATGCAAAAGTGTGTAATATATTAAAAATGGAAATATGAAAATAGATTTAAAAAACTTAAATTAACTATTTTTGTGTGTGTGTCTTTTAGATTTATTTCATGTTTATTGTGTCGTTCTTCTCTATATCAATTATATAATAACTTACTGCCTACATTCTACAACAATAATTATAACTAATAATAAACAGTCTTGATTATGATTAACAGACAAACAACAAAAAGCTTCTATAACCAGTTTGCCCTCAGTCATCAGTTGGAAATTCTCACCGATTTCAGTTCTGAATCCACTTGATAGTTATGTTTGTGGCTTCTTGATTGTTTGGTGAATCTAGAGTTAGGTGATTGTGTTAAGAAGTAGGTTTCTTCCAACAGCAAGACACTGCATAAATGTTTGGTGAATCTAGTGTTAGGTGATTGTGTTAAGAAGTAGGTTTCTTCCAACAGCAAGGCACTGCATAAATGTTTGGTGAATCTAGTGTTAGGCGATTGTGTTAAGAAGTAGGTTTCTTCCAACAGCAGGCACTGCATAAGTGTTTGGTGAATCTAGAGTTAGGTGATTGTGTTAAGAGGTGGGTTTCTTTCAACAGCAAGGCACTGCATATTTTACAGTTCATCAGGTTGTAAAGTTATTTTATTCACATCATTCAGTCTTTAGCAAAAAAGAACATTTTTAAAATTTGCAAAATGTTTTTTTAATATTTGTATTTAATAAATTGATTCACACTCATTCCTGAAAATTAAAAATTAAAATATGGATATTCCATGTAGATTAAAAAGTTTTGAATTTCTATCTTATTATTATTAAAACAGGAAGGTGAAGACACAGGTTAATTAAAATAAAAAATGAACATAAATATGTGACTAGGGTCTTGAATTACCATGTTTAATAATGGAGCCTACCAACCCTTGAAATCTTAAAGCAGCAGGAAAGTTCTACGTGTTCTGTAAGCTACATGAAAACAGACAAGTTAGTGATGCCTCCCTTGTAGATGTTGTTGAGGTGTTGCCAAAAATAATTCCTGCTAGGAGATATGGAGAAGAGTTTCTCAGTTTGTTTAAACTAACTTCTTGGTGATATGTGTTTAATAAACCATCTGGTGGTTAATGGTGAATAATAGGTACGTATTTAAGAACAGACACATATTAATATAAATAAAGTGGAAATTACATAATGTTGTTTGAAAAGTATACGAACAGCTTGAGTCATGACTGTCCACATTAAAATGAATGATGTAATAGAAACTTATAGTAAAACTGAGTTAGAACATTTCTTTCAGGAGACATAAGCCTATTGTAAGTTGCATTGTTTGTTATAGTAGAAAGATGAGAATGATATAAAGACTTGTAGTCTTCAGACATCAGAAAGTGATTGATTTTTAACATTACACTGATATCATTGACTGATAAAATTTACCTAGACTTAAAATTCTAGAGTAACAAGACCATAATGTACATCATATTTATTAATTGTTTTATTATTTAGTAATTAAAAGTTTGAGCATCATTAGATAAAGATTAACAGACGTACTGAACTTGTTGATGTACAAGTGAAAGTCCATTTGCTGTCACTATTGTAGATACGGTTCTGGTTGCTACAAGTTTACACGATTGAATCGTTTATCAGACTAACATTTATTTGCCCTATACTTATTAATATTGTTAAAAGTTTTGTTATTACAAGTAAAGTCTAGTTCACATAACATTTTATTTCTTCAACTTCAAATTTCATGTTTAATAGAAGATTCACTGATAAGTGTGAGATTAGAAATAAATTATATCAAACAGAAGTTCCATTTACTTGCTAATTTTGAAACAGAAAATCAATATTCACAGCACTAAACTAATAAACTGACTTATCATTCACTGATTGTTAACTGACTAACTCATTAATTAACTCTAGCCTAACTTGCTTTTTATGTCGCTCATAATTGTTTCTTAAATTTTGTAGAAAGTTTGAGGCATAAGACCATGTCAATCATCTTATGTTGAACTTCTTTACAGCTAAACAAAAATAAAAAAATTTGAAACCTTAAGATTAAAAACATAGGCTACAACAAGACAAGTTTTTATTTCCTGTCAGAGTAGAGAAAAGCTGGCTTCAAGAATTTGCGTTAAAATGTGTTTGTGTGTGCAGTCATAATTTTGTTTGTGTAACAATATAAAGATATTTTTTCGCTATTTGTTTGCAGTGAAAAATGTACTCAAGAACAATATATGGTACTCAGAATTAATACTGAGATATTTTAAATGTGTTCTTTTAACACTAAATAAAATCCCTGTTGGCATTTAGGTTCATTATGCCATTTTTTACGCTAGATGTCTTCAATAAAGGAGTAATTGGTTCTCACTCTACTGTTGGTATTACAGTTTAACTTTAAAGGATTCAGAACCAAACAGAAACTGTGGCACATGTGGCCATATTCTTTGTTTAGTTTCAGATTAAAGATGAACCAGGAATATGCAACAACCCTTGCAGTGCAGTGTTAAAAACACATGAACTGTGGTCAGATAGCCGTTTTGAAAACATTAGTTTTTATTGTTTATGTAGTCACATTTGACAGGCACCATTACATAGATGCTTGAAAGTTCCTGTAAAATGAGTTTTGTGTGGGCTTACTAGAGCCCCTATCAAGTGTCTCGTGATGCCGCTATTAGACCTTTTACTCTTACTAAGAAATAAATGCTATTGGTTTCAGATCATGTTGTTATTTGTCACACAATCAGCTGTTGTTTATATACACTGGACAAGCTCACGATAACTTTGTGTGATCTCTTTGGCTGCTAAGACTCCAATATTTTAATTGGCCTAGGCTAGTGATGTTGCATGTAGTAATACAACATTTTCAAACTATATTGTTGTATATAGGCATCAAATATTTAAAACTGAAAAACTAAGTCAATGTTTTAAAGTTTAAACTATAAAACTGGATATTAATTATTAGTAAATTCAGACTAGCAAGAAGAGTTTTAGTATATTTGATTTTGGCCTGAATTGAATATGATGTAGTAGTTTCTGCACGACACCAAGCTGCCATATTGATCATAGGTTATCATAGTTCAGTGGCATGTCTCAGTTTAGCCTGTGAAACTATTTCATTGATAGAAAACAGTACAATTCATTCAATACCAATTTATCGAGATACAGGATCAGCTCACTAACACCCCCTGTGGACTGTTTAGCAAGAGCTGTTTACATGAACGATACTTTGACAACAGGTATACTGAAGATTAAACTAATAATACTGTGGAATTCAGACATAAAAATGTATACATGTTCTAGAGTATGAGCTGATTCTTTAAGTTAACAATACAAAAGTACCAATGCTAGTTAAATCATCCATGGCTACATTATTGTTTAATTATTTCTCAGGTATACTGACACACACTAGACAGAGTTTACATATTACATTGTTACTTACTCAACTTTAATTGCTTGTTTCGACCTATTTCAGCAAGCCATTTATTCTGTAATCTAACCATGCATCATCATTTGTTTCTTTCAGCCATTTTGCTATACAACCACCACGTCCAGATCTCAATTCCCCATCATGCATTGAGGGAAGTTCTTTCAACATACTTTACATTCTGATTTTCATGTTGGCACAGATTCTGATTGGCTGTGGGGGTACTCCCATTTTTACTCTTGGAACCACGTATATTGATGACCACGTGAGGAAAGAGAGTTCTTCCTTATATATTGGTCAGTTTGGGGTTAAACCTTGTAAAACATAGAATAAGTTCTATCTTAAACACTGAACAATCATTTGAAAGAAATACAACAGTTCAGCAAGTTTGGAAGTGACAGATTAAAATATGTTAATCATACTTGGCTAAGGAACAAATAAGGTAACAAGAAACATTATGAATTCTATCTTAATGATTTTAGTCTTTTAAGTTTAGGTTTCATAGGTTTTGGTTTCATCAGGTTTCTATTAGCTGCTTGTTATTCATATATTTTAAAAAAGATATTTCAAGTGACCTAGTTCTGGGAGGTACAGAATTAAACATGTAACTTACTTCTAGGGTGCATGTACAGTACGGTGGCTTTTGGCCTTGTCTGTGGCTTCCTGCTTGGAGGTTACCTGCTTTCCATTCCCGAGTCTGTAATTCTATACGGCAGCGTACCAACCAGCAACTCTGAGTGGGTGGGAGCATGGTGGGCGGGGTTCCTCCTCTTTGGTTTCTTATTGATGTTGGTAAGTATCAGTTATTTAAAGTTACTTCTGCCTCCAAGATTGAGGTAATAAATTCTTTCAATTTTGAAATGTCAGTGAATTGTTGAAAGACTAGGCTTCACAAACTAATCTTACTAAATATTACCTTATTATAATCGTCACATAAGGAAGTGAGCTCTTTTCAATAACTTATTTATTGAGGGTAATAATCCAAACCTTGCCATCTCACAAACATAGTGATAGTTAAATTGACACATGACATAACTAAACCAGTACTGTTACAGAGGTAACTATCCTTTACTAAACCAGTACTGCTACATAGATAACTATCCTTTACTAAACCAGTTCTGCTACATAGATAACTATCCTTTACTAAACCAGTTCTGTTACATAGATAACTATCCTTTACTAAACCAGTACTGTTACAGAGGTAACTATCCTTTACTAAACCAGTACTGTTACAGAGGTAACTATCCTTTACTAAACCAGTACTGCTACATAGATAACTATCCTTTACTAAACCAGTACTGTTACAGAGGTAACTATCCTTTACTAAACCAGTACTGTTACAGAGGTAACTATCCTTTACTAAACCAGTACTGCTACAGAGGAAACT